AGGCTTTGTCTCAAAAAAAGAAAAAAAAAAGAAATAGATTATCAAACAGACCAAGAAAACTGGGGACTGGGGCTAAGGAGTGTATCCCATGTGATCTTCCAAAGGCAGGTGATGCTGCTGCCGAGGTTTGGGAAGAAGAAGGTGTTGGCGTCCTACAGCACCTCTTCCAGCATCCATTCTCTCTTGTGTTTCCATACAGAAGCCCTCATACAGTCTGGGGCCTTAATAAACATTGAGGCTATGATTGCACCGCCATCCTCATCCAACCTATCCTACCTTATCCCACTTACTCTCTTGAAAACTAAGGAGGAGTCATCTACATTCTAATAAGAAGACAGAGTTAAGGGCAATTTGTCCATTAAAAATACACTTAGGTGAAATATTTATCAACCTTCTGAAAGGGAAGGGCTTTCTATGTGTAAAGAGAGAAGAACTCTTAAAGCAAGTGACTGATCAATAGACTTAACTGTTGAAAAATTTAAATATTTTGATGTCAATAAAGAAACACTCAGACCAGGCACGGTGGCTCACGCCTATAATCCCAGCACTTTGGGAGGCCGAGGGGGGAAGATCACTGAGCCCAGGAGTTCAAAACCAGCCTGGGCAACATACTGCCCATCTCTACAAAAAATAAACAAAAATGAGCTGGGTGTGGTGGTATGCACCTGTAGTCCCAGCTACTCGGAAAGCTGAGATGGGAGGATGGCTTGAGCCAGGAGGTCAAGGCTGCCATGAGCTGTGTGTGCGCCACTGCACTTTAGCCTGGGCGACAGATAGAGACTCTGTCTCAAAAAATAAAAAAGAAAGAAAAGAAAAAAGAAACACTCAAAGTTTAAGAGACAAACAGCAAAAAAGTATATTTGAAAATTAAGACAAAGGATTCAAACTTATATATTAGTAGCTCATACCAAATAGTGGGTGGAGTGGAGAAACTGAGACACTAAGAGATTTGAGGCAAGGGCCACAGACAAGCGACTTACAGGAAAGGAGAGAGAGCTTGCCACACACGTGGGATGACATCCAACAGACTTGTGATCAAAGGTGCATAATGAAATACTAAGATGCTAACTTATTAAATTCATCACAAAGGAAATATAATTTCCAGTATTAACCAATAGATGGCAAAATGGGAGGCATTTTCATTCTTTTCTAGAAAGAGTACAAATTGGTTGAAACTCTCTAGAAAGTAATTTTGAAATAATGTGTCAAGAGCTTTAAAAACGCTTAGGCCCTTTGACTCAGTAATTCCATTTCTATTTGTTGATCCCAAAGAATCCTTTTTTTTTTTTTTTTTTAATGAGACAAGGTCTTGCTGTGTCACCCAGACTGGAGTGCAGTGGCATGATCTTGGCTCACTGCAACCTCAGCCTCCTGGGCTCAAGCGATTCTCCCACCTCAGCCTCCCACATAGCTGGGACCACAGGCGAATGCTACCATGCCCGGCTCATTTTTGTATTTTTTGTAGAAATCGGGTTTTACCATGTTGCCCAGGCTGGTCTGGAACTCCCAGGCTCAAGCAATCCTCCCGCCTCGGCCTCCCAAAGTGTTGGGATTGCAGGCATGAGCTACTGCGCCAGGCCCCAAGGAATCAATCTTAAATACAGTCTACCTTCACACACAGAGATGTTCATTATCTTGTTATTTATAAAAATGAAAAAGTGGAAAAAAAATGTCCAGCCGGAGGAGAATAGTTCAGTGAATCATGGTGTGTGTCATTTGATAAAATGTTATCTAGTCAATAAAATTGGTGTTTATAAAGATGCTTTCCATATAATTTGGAAAATGCTTTAAGTAAATGAAAACCAGAATCCATAATTATGTAGACAGTATCTGCAATCAAGTTAAAAAATCAACAACAACAACAAATCTAAATGGCTAGAAAATATAGTAAAAACGAACATACTGGCCAGGTGCGGTGGCTCATGCCTGTAGTCCCAGCACTTTTGGGGGGCTGAGGCGGGTGGATCACTTGAGGTCAGGAATTCAAGACCAGCCTGGTCAATATGGTGAAACCTCATTTCTATCAAAAATACAAAAATTAGCTGGGTGTGGGGGCATGTACCTATAGTCCCAGCTACTCAGGAGGCTAAGATGGGATAATTGCTTGAACCCAGGAGGCAGAGTTTGCAGTGAGCTGAGATCACACCACTGCACTCCAGCCTGGGTGACAGAGCAAGCCCCTATCTCAACAACAACAACAACAATAACAACAAAGAACATACCAATATGTTAGGAGTATTCATTTTATGAACAGTGTGACTGGGGATTTTTGGTTTGTTTTGTTTTGTATCTATTTTTTCTACGTTTTTCCTAAATATTCTTTATGTGGATGTGTTACTTCTACAATAAAAAACATGAATTGCAGGGCACATTGTGTTTGCTGCCCAGACATCATGCCACAATTCAGAGACTGAATGTCAGAAGAATACTCAGATATTCCTGGTGGCGTTGCTCATGGGGCTGAGGGTTGGGTGGATTCAGGATTCAGGCCGCGGTTCTCAGTGCTGTTGGTTCCATTCTCCACTGAGTCTTTTTTTTATTTTTATTTTTTTTGAGACGGAGTCTCACTCTGTCACCCAGGCTGGAGTGCATTGCCGTTATCTTGGCTCACTGCAACCTCTGCCTCCTGGGTTCAAGCGATTCTCCTGCCTCAGCCTCCTGAATAGCTGGGACTACAGGTGCGTGCCACCATGCCCGGCTAATTTTTGTGTTTTTAGTAGAGACGGTGTTGCACCATGTTGGTTAGGCTGGTCTCGAACTCCTGACCTCGTGATCCACCTGCTTCAGCCTCCCGAAGTGCTGGGATTACAGATGCAAGCCACCACACCCGGCCTCCACAGAGTCTTTTATAGCCATCCTCTACTTTCATCGACTCTAGCCTTTCTCCTGGTCCAGGCTCTTCTCTTTTCATTCAGATGATGGCAGTAGCCTTGGACATAGTCTCCCTGCTCCCCATCCTGCTCTTGTCCTTCCGGGTTAATACTGCTATGTATGATCCTCAACACACAGACCCCAAGCTGTGCTTTCCTAGCTCTTTGAGAAAAAAATCCAGCATCCTCAGCTTGACTTCTGGGGTCTTCCACAACCTGCCTGTAACCCAGCCAAGCCCACCACCCCGCCACACCTGCTGTAGACCCACTCCACATGGACTGGCTGACCACCCGGCTGGCTCTGTGGGTCTTTCTGGTGCTCTCCCTCACTTTGATCTCTTTGATGGGCCTCCCCCTGCAGCTGCCCATCAGCCCCACTGCCATCCAAGGCCCCTTCCTCCTGGCAGGAGAAGACAGAGCCAGTCTTGAACTACAGTGAAATGTGCATGGTGCTGATGGGGTGGAGAAGTCTAGAAAGCACAGGCCTCGCCAGCGAATCTTAAATCAAGCCACCCTTGGTGTAAAAAGCAGGATCCAAATCAATATGTTTCTGTAATCATTTTATATAATAAAATGAGGTTACATCCTGAATAAGAGCAAATCTACCGTACATGCTGATTATATTAAGGGCCTTGACATATTGTAAATTATACTCAAGCAAGTAAAAATGACTTTATCCTAGGTTGAACCTAAAACTAATATGCCAGCTCTAACATTAAACACTCAATACTAATTTCACCGACTCTCTCTTCAGTGATGGTTCTCTCAGTAAAAAATGTCCTAGAGCCAGCAGAGCCACTTAGAATCATTCTGCTGCCCTTACAACTGCTATTCAAATTTAGTACCATTCTGTTAAAAATAGCCATTGTAGCCTCTAAGTATTTAAAACCTGAAGGCCTCACTGAGGGCTTTGTTCATAAACATTTGGAGAAGAAAAATCTGTTAGATTTGATCTCTTATTCTGTCACTCTTTGCCCTCCCCGTCTTTTTGTACCCAGTGCCACATACATCATCATTATCTTCCTCATCACTGATGGCAGCTTTGGAAGAGTAAAATATTCTCATGCAGACAGGGTGAGAGGCTGTGTATTCCTGCCGTGGTGCAGGTGTCTGTATTTGGTGTTTGACCATACAGACATGAACCTTGGATGCTGGACCCAGGGTCAGAACCACCCTCATCTGCCCCACTGCCTCCCCACATTGTCACCCCATTTCAGTTGTGTGTGGACTCTGGCTCATAGGTGTTTAGCATAGGGATGGTGGTGGGCAGCCAAATGTGAGCAGAGAGAGGATGAGATGTGAATTTCAAGGCATTGTTCGTGGGCATGCAGTATGATGGGCAGTGATGTGCAGAGCAGCGAAAACCGAGCAGTCCTTCTATTTTCCCTTCTCTTTACATTTCCCTTCCAGTTCAACTCCAATGTCAGCACGTCCCCTAGAAACTAAGGGAGAGCAGGGGAGGGAACAGCAGTGCTAGGTAAGACTCGCTCAGTCAACGGTGACCCCTGAGCATTGACGGGTACAGAATGCCGTATAAGACACCGTCAGGATCCCCAGTGCCTGGAGCTCTCACCCAGCCAGGACCAAGCCCTGGTAGATGGAGATGGCCACACCAGAGGGTTGGGCTTCTCTAATCTGAGGACCCTGGCCCTGGAGCTGACCCAGAGGCACTCCTAAGAGATACACATTCACCAGGAGGACCCTGAACCTGGTTGGAGGATGGCTGACCTTGAGATAGGGATACCGCAGACCCTTACTAGATGAGGAGGGTCATCCCTCCCTTCCTTAGCTGAGGTCAGCCCTCTCTCCCTACTTCTGGACTCCTAAAACCCAGAAGGTTCTGTCTAGGAGTGGGCTGACCAAATGCACTCAAACCGCCTGGAACAAGAGGTTCTTTGTCCAGGCCACTGCTCTTGAGCAATTCTTGCGCAATGTCTGGCCCTACTAAAGCTCATCCTGCCTGCTGACCCTAATCCCTGACCCTGGATCTGCCTTTCCTCACCAACTAACCCTGGTTCCCAGACTTTACTCCCCACTCCTCCTTTCTTAGGCCAGTGCAGATTCTCAGACCTGTTTTGACTTTGGACCCCTTCAAGGACACCCACCCCAGATCAGATCCAGATCTCTGCTGGTAGTAACCTTCTGACCTGGGGATCCCAGGTTCTGTTCCTTCTGAGTGTGTAACAGGTTAGACATACTCGAGAAGGTTACAATAAAATAGCACAAACATGGAGAGCATTGGACTCGGGGCTTCCAAGGTCCCATTGACTTCGAATTATCTAAGATGCTTTGAAAAGCTCTAGTTCATAATTATAAACATTCCATCCTTACTATTGGATCAGAGATGAGGAACAAAGGATCATGTGTTCAGAGAACTGGGCCTTGTACTTCTTTACTTTTCAGTTTCACTTCTACCATAATTTTCGCCTTCTACCAAAATGGAAATTTTCCACTTTCCGCTGTTGGTAAGTAGCCAATTTATTTTTTTATTTTTTTATTTTTTTTCATAGCAGATGGTTTTTCCGTATCAGGAATTTCTGGAATTTTTTGCAGGAAGAGGAAAAGCAGTAATCTAAGCCCTGGGGCTCGCGAGGCCTTGAGTTTCTTCTCTTGCCCAACCCCACCCCTTCCTTTACATCATTTAAACACCATAATAATGGTGAAATGCCGCAGATCCCTTCATGCAGAAGGATGCCGGGATGATTCATAAGGGAAGAGAATTCCAAGCTGACTGCCCTCATTTCCTACCCGCCATGCTTGGCTGCCTGAAGGTGTCCAGGTCTCTCTGCAGGGAAAGCCTGTCCCCTTTGGAAGGGCTCCAGCCCAGTCTGCTTCCCCAACCCTGTGCAGAATTCAGTCTCTACACAGTGGACCTGAAACATACTGGGACTGGGTCTGCAAGGCACGGCAGGTTTCCTGGATGGTGATTGTGATGGCCTCTGAAGGGCGAGGCTGCAGAGCCAGGAATGGCTGTCCCGGGAGCAAGGAGGAATGGTAGGCGTGGCTCCCGCTCACCAGAGGAGCTCAAAGAGCCAAGGCTGCCTTTGTATTTGAAAAACACTCTGTGGATAGAGCATGCCTTGATCCATTTGTGAGTAGACCCAGAAAACTATTCAATAATACTTTTATTTAATATCATTAAAGAATCATTTAATAATAGTTGACTCAACTATTCTAGATAAAAGAAATAAACATTTTGTAAAAGTGGAAAAGAACATTTCAGCATTTAAAGGCTGTTTTATTTTCTGGTTGCTTGGTATAGAAGTTAGCTCAAGGGTACGTAAGAAGTAGCTGATGTCTTTTTAAAAATTTAGAAGTCATGACTGCTGTTAAATTTTTTTTTTTTTTTAATGTTTGGATTTGCAAAGCTAGCTTAAGTATGAGGCAGTCTGACTGCAATATTTGAAACTGGGTAGCTGTCCCAGGAGGTATTGTGGAGCCTTGAAAGAGCTCCTGAAATTGTCCTATTGTCATTCTCCCTATGCTTTTTGTTCACCCAAACTTTGTTAAAAAAAAAAAAAAAAAAAAAAGACAAAGACTAGCTAATCAAGAATTTTTAAATAGGCCAGGTGCGGTGGCTCACACCTGTAATCCCAGCACTTTGGGAGGCTGAGGCGGGAGGATCATCTGAGGTCAGGAGTTAAAGACCAGCCTGGCCAACATGGTGAAACCCCATCTCTACAAAAAACACAAAAAAATTAGCCAGGCATGGTGGTGGACACCTGTAATCCCAGCTACCTAGGAGGCTAAGGCAGGAGAATCGCTTGAACCTGGGAGGCAGAGGTTTCAGTGAGCCGAGATTGCGCCATTGCACTGCAGCCTAAGCAGCAAGAGCAAAACTCCGTCTCAAAAAAAAAGAAATTTTTTGTTTTTAAATATCTGCCTAACATGCAATGATGGATATGATTTGGGTCAAGACATAAAGAAGAACGAATCTTTTAATTCATCCTTTATTACATTTATAGCATGTGAACCTGACTTTAGAGTTTCAGGCACCTTTAACATTTTAAAGTCCTGTGGTGGCAGCTTTGCTGCGATCTTGCAGGAGAGGCCTTTTGCTACTTTATTTTGACTTAGGGAACATCAACCTGATTCCTGGGCACCCCAAGTAGGCTTTACAGTTTTCTGCTTACTTTACCTCCCCTGTATTTTCTTTGTATCAGGAGGTACTTTTCTATTCCACATGATTTGACATTACAAGTAGAAGGATCACCATCCTGTAGTGGGCACATGAGCCCAAACTCTGAGTTCATGAAGCCTTGCAGTGGTCTCCCATTTAGCAGGATAGGAAACATTTCTAGCTCTTGCTTCCCTTTCCAATGAGGCCAGTCATTTGGTTTGCTTTGGATTGCTCAGAATTCACCTTTATTGGTGCCATCCGGTTTCTAAAGCACTCCCAAACCTGATTATTAGGTGCCTGTGCTATTTAGAGTATAAAGAAACTCAAAAGACAGTAGCTCCAGCAATATGGAAGTGCTTTTCCTCTCTCTCACATCAGTCTGGAGTGGGCCAGTGGGCTCTGCTCCATGAGGTCATTCAGAGATCTTCAACACATGGCTTTCCTCTCTGGGTCTCCAATTGTTTCCACTTCCCAGCTGGTAGGAAGAGGGAGAGAGAGAGGACACAGAGGGCAATCGTGTCTTATAATCAACAGATGCTGATGTTGTTCACATCACTTTCTCTTAATTAATTAATTAATTTGTTTATTTTTGAGACAGGATCTCACCCTGTCCCCCAGGCTGGAGTGCAGTGGCTCAATCATGGCTCACTGCAGCCTCGACCTCTCAGGCTCAAGTGATCCTCCCACTTCAGCCTTTGAGTAGCTGAGATTACAGGCATACACCACCATGCCTGGCTAATTTTTGTATTTATCGTAAAGAAGGGGTCTCGCCATGTTGCCCAGGCTCTCTTGAACCCCTGGCTCAAGCAGTCTACCCACCTCAGCTTCCCAAAGTGTTGGGATTCCAGGTGTGAGCCACCATACCCTGGCCACTTCCCCTCATTTTAATGGCAGTGTTTTAGTCATGTGGTCTCACCTCATAGCAAGAGAGACTGGGAAATGGAGTCCCAAGTGAACAGCCACATGCACAGCTAAAATTCTGAATTTCTAGGGAAAGGCAAAGGGACATATTTTAGGGGAGATATCTAGCATTCTGCCTGGGAAATTTAACTCCAAAAATGTAAAGATTTTAACCAGAATAATTTCTGAAAGGTTTGCAGCAGCTTCCTTGTTAGAAGTTCAAAACAAAACAAAACAAAAACAAAAACAAAAACAAAAAACAAAACCTCTCTTTCTTTAGAATGCAAATGCTTTGTAAGTGAAGGATGTATGTTTTATGATGTAGACATTACTAGTTATGTGACACTCTTGGAACAAATATGGAGTTTGAGCTTAGAGGTGCCATTCTCCTTCTCATTAGGAATTTGATTCTTGGCATTTTTCTTGGGATTTAGGAGAAGCATTGAAGAAGACGACTAAGATAATTGGGGGTTGTCCTGTGAAGGCTAGTTTGGGAGAGCTTGGGTATATTTAGCACAGAGGAGAGAACAGCAAGAATAACAAATGAGATTGTTATTTTCAGGGGTTGAGGAGCTGGAGGTAGGAGATGGCATGTCCCTCTTTTTTGCTTCTTCTGAGAGTAGAATTGTGAATAGAGAGTAGAGGATATTAGGCTTTAGGCTGACATTTTATTTCGTTACATTAGTCCATTCTCAGGCTGCTATAAAGAAATACCCAAGACTGGGTAATTTATAAAGAGTTTTAATTGACACACACAGTTCTGGAGGGCTGGGGAGGCCTCAGGAAACTTACAATCATGGCAGAAGTTCATGCCACCTCTTCACATGGCGGCAGGGGAGAGAATGAGAGCCGAGCAAAGAGGAAGCCCCTTATAAAACCATCAGATCTCATGAGAACACACTCACTATCACAAGAACAGTATGGGGAAAACCGCCCCCATGATTCAATTCTCTCCACTTGGTGTCCCCCTCAACATGTGGGGATTACTACAATTCAAGGTGAGATTCAGGTGGGGACGTGGAGCCAAACCATACTAGTTGTCAGTCATCTAGTGAGAGGACTTGGCTCTTTGCCATTGGATGTTGCGTATTCCTGGTTTCTGACGTTGTTCACTCAGTCTTTAGACTTCAGAGGAATTGTTTAAGTAGTTTAAAGACTGAGTTCACATAGGGAACATTCCTCATGAGAAAAAAGTTTATTCTGTGTCCATTTTGTCTGTCTTATTCCCTAGGTAGGGAGTATCATCCAAACATAGTAATGCTGCTAACCATATTGCTTGCATAGTACTTTATCATGGAACTTCTGAGGCTTCCAGACACAACACCTGCAAATTTTCTATTCCATAAAGCTGGTCCTCAGGCCTGTCTTAGATTCTTCATAAAGACCTCGACTTCTTCCCCACTCGAGCCATCTCTCTCCATCCTTGGAAACCTCATGGGACATCATGCATGATTTTCTTGTAGGATTTATTTTCCCTTTAAAGGAATATCTGTGTATTTATCTCAGCTCATTAAGTTGAAGGACTGCCTTCTTCATCCTTATGCCTCCTGCACTGTCTAGGACAGAGCCTTTCCACAGTGGGCACTCAATAAACACTTCTTGACTTCGATTGGATAATTCCCCAACCTCACAGAGTTTAGACTTAGAGTTTGCTATTGGGAGCATCAATCTTGCTCTTTGTGTTGACTCATGAAATGCTCTATCTCATCTGTCCTCCTGTTCTTAATCTGTAAAATGAGGGGCTGGATGAGTTGGTCCCTAGGCTTCCTTCCAGCCCTGATTCATTCTGACTCAGTTCTGGGCTGGAGCAGACACTTGTTGGAAAGGCTATCTAGACGTTGGCAGCCTGTGGGGGAGCCTCATAACCCGGATGCTGCATTGCCCAGGTCACTGCACTGACACCTTTCATGCCCTGGTCGGGCCATGGGGTGGCAGGGCCACAGCCGGTGACGGCGTGTGCTGCCCTTCCCAGGTACGTGTGCATTGCCATGGAGGCTTTGGACCAGCTGCTCATGGCCTGCCACTGCCAGAGCATCAACCTCTTCGTGGAGAGCTTCCTCAAGATGGTGGCCAAGCTGCTGGAGTCGGAGAAGCCCAACCTGCAGATCCTCGGCACCAACTCGGTAAGGAGCGGCCCAGGGGGCTCCAGATCTCCCAGCCGCATCCTGGGGATTGGCAGGGGAGAGGGAGACCTTGGGGTCATCACTGTCATGTTCTGTTTCTATTTGGTTCCCAACCCTAAGTGTGACACACTGCTTGTTTTAGGGTCTCCCTTTGTGTGAACAAAGGGCCCTTTCATTTTTTAATTTAAATAAGTATATAATTTATATAGATATATAATAAAATAATTTTTAAAAATAAAATTCACCACTTTCAAGCATCCTATTTTAAACCCTGTGGTGGCTGGGCACAGTGGCTCACACCTGTAATACCAGCACTTTGGGAGGCCAAGGCAGGTGGATCACTTGAGGTAAGGAGTTTGAGACCAGCCTGACCAACATGGCAAAACCCCCATCTCTACTAAAAATACAAAAAAAAAAAAAATTAGCTGGGTGTCATGGTGCACACCTGTAATCCGATCCCAGCTACTTGGGGGGCTGAGGCAGGAAAATCACTTGAACCCAGGAAGCAGAGACTGCAGTGAGTCGAGATCGCGCCACTGCCCTCCAACCTGGGCAACAGAGACTCCATCTCAAAAAACAAACAAACAACAACAACAACAACAAAAATGTGGTTTTAGTGTATTCACAAAGTTGTGCAACCATTATCTCCATCTAATGTGTTTAGCGCTAGATTGATGATCTCCAAACTTTTTACTAATAGAATTTTTTCCCCTCAAATAATTTTAAGTGGGGCCCCAAATGGATATAAAAATCAATGGAAACAGAGGCTTTCTTTGGAGGGCAGAAAGAGCCCAGGGCCCCCACCACTCAGCACTCTATGGGGGCATATCTTGAAAGCTATCCAGGTTATGCCTCTTTCAAAGATAGAGCAAAGTGATGTCCCCAGGACAAAGGTACCAGATCAGTGGAAAGACCACGGGGAAGCAGGACACAGGGCTTCTGGCTTAGTTTTGCCCTTTCCTCACTGTGAAGCGTCGAGCAGGTTACCTTTTATAGGCCTCAGTCTTTTCATCAGTACCATGAGCAGGTTCAGCTTGGTCTCTGTTAGTCCTCCAAGCTAATGCTGGTCTCAGTGGAGGTGGCTGCAGTCGTGGGAGTGTATGATATTGTTAGAGAAGAGCTATCAGATATGTCAGAAACTCCCTGCTTCATGTGTGCATTTAAACATACTCCCACACCCTGGTTGTCTTTAATATCTTGCCATCTTTCCCATTCCTTCCCCTTCAGGACATACTTTAAGCTCCAGGTCTTCATGCAGCTTAGATATGACTATTTTACAGATCTTAAGTGAAGCCTTTATCTATCTGCAGATATCACAAAAGTTTAAGGTTTGCCCCTAGCCTCCCAACCTGAATTCTTATTTTTTTATTTTATTTTATTTTTTTAGACTGAGCCTCTTTCTGTCACCCAGGCTGGAGTGCAGTGGCATGATCTTGGCTCACTGCAACCTCCACCTCCTGGGTTCAAGTGATTCTCTTGCTTCAGCCTCCTGAATAGCTGGGATTACAGGCATGCACCACCACACCTGGCTAATACCTGTGTTTTTACAAGAGACAGGGTTTCGCCATGTTGTCCAGGCTGGTCTCAAACTCCTGGGCTCAAGTGATTCACCCACCTCAGCCTCCCAAAGTGCTGGGATTACAGGCATGAGCCAGCACGCCCTGCCCCCAACCTGAATTTTTATGGCATAGGTCAGAGCTGCTTTCCTGTTCTATATAAGTTGATTCAACCAGAAGAGAGTCTTCCAGCTTTCCTTCCAAGGACCAACAGTGGCAACCTATACAGATTCCCTTCTCTTTCCTCTCCCTGGGAGCCAGCTGCCTTCGACACATTACACATATTATAGCTAAGGGGAAAGTCCTTTGTCAAGTTGCCCTGGCAACGGCTTCAGATACTGTTTTAGTTGTCCTGTTTAAGATAACTCCAGAGAACATCTGAATGGAAAATGAACCAGCCACCATGCATCTGTGGGGGCCACTGGAAGCAGGTGGCCGCCAGCTCTAGCTTCGCCCACAGGAAATCCTAGCCCAGGGTAGGTGCTTTGTCGGCTACGGCCTGGAAAATTCAGTGTCCTGCAAATTCCCCATCGCAGTGAATCATCGCATCAGCCAGAGCAAGTTGACTAATGATTGCTGTACTGCAGACAGTGATGATGATATAAGGACAAGCTCTTGTCAGTGAGTTAAGTCAAATATTTGCAGTAGCTCCAGAGTGCAACTTGGAAGGCAGCCTTTTCTCTTGCTGTCCCTGTCTGATGCTCTTTCCGGCTCTCCGAGCCCAGACCTTCTTGAACCTTCCTGAGAAGAGTGTTCTTTTGCTCCTCATCATTTTAGACCTGCCAGCATGCTAGTGCGTGACATTATCTTAGAGTCTAGCCCAGGAGTTCCAAACAGGTCTTCACAGGGATTCAGGGCTTTGTGGGGGGAAAGGGGAACTGAGGGAGGAGGAATAGAGTCTCTAGGCCCTTTACTGCTACTTCATCCAGTAGCCACCTCTGGGGTTTTTTTTGTTTGTTTGTGTTTTGTTTTATTGAGGCAGAGCCTCGCTCTGTCACCCAGGCTGGAGTGCACTGGCGTGACCTCGGCTCACTGCAACCTCTACCTCTGAGGTTCAAGTGATTCTCCTACTTCAGCCTCTCCAGTAGCTAGGATTAGCTGGCCACATGCCCAGCTAATTTTCTTTTTCTTTTCTGAGACGGAGTCTCGCTCTGTTGCCCAGGCTGGAGTGCACTGGCATGACCTCAGCTCACTGAAACCTCTACCTCTGAGGTTCAAGTGATTCTCCTACTTCAGCCTCTCCAGTAGCTAGGATTAGCTGGCCACATGCCCAGCTAATTTTCTTTTTCTTTTCTGAGTTGGAGTCTCGCTCTGTTGCCCAGGCTGGAATGCAGTGGCACGATCTCGGCTCACTGCAACCTCCGCCTCCTGGATTCAAGTGATTCTCCTGCCAAAGCCTTCCAAGTAGCTGGAGCTACAGGCACCGGCCACCATGCCCAACTAATTTTTAGTAGAGATAGGGTTTCACCATGTTGGCCAGGCTGGTCTCAAACTCCTGATGTCAAGTGATCCGCCCGCCTCAGCCTCCCAAAATGCTGGGATTACAGGCATGAGCTACAGCGTCTGGCTCCAGTTAATGTTTGTATTTTTGGTAGAGACAGGGTTTTGCTGTGTTAGCCAGGCTGGTCTCAAACTCCTGACCTCAAGTGATCCACCTGCCTTGGCCTCCCAAAGTGCTGAGATTACAGGTGTGAGCTACCACGCCCAGACCTTTTCATTGTTTGTATGGAAGTTTGCAGCATTTTATTTGGATAAAAGGTTTTGCTGCCAGGAAATCAAAAGAAAGGGAAGGAGAGAAAGAAGGAGAAAAGGAAAAGAAAGCAAAATGAATCAAGCTCATCTAACCCCTAATTTTGTTGGATTTCTCAGTGTAGAGATGGGATCCCAAGAAGTGAGATGGTTTGTCTGTGCTCACACAGCTAGAGTGCTGGCTTTAGACAGTGATTCTTTTGGCCCCTGTGCATGTATTAATATTCTCCCTAGAATCTGAGGGGTGGCAAGGTCAAAAGCCCCTCACTGGGCCCTAGATTCCAAAGCATGACACCCAGCCTCTGTGCAGATGCCCCCCATGACCAGACTTAGTCTAGCACAAGGCAGTCCCTGGCCTTGTGGGTGAGAAGCCAAGAAAAAAACTTAACCTGAGCCCACTCTTCCTCCCTGTAGCTTTTCCCTCAGACCTGGTTTTGCTCCCTGAATCGGCATAGCACAAATCTCCCCTCTGTAGAGTGTCTCTTCGGAAACCATATGCCCTTCAAGGTCCCCAACTCAGACCAATGAGTTTTGGAAACCTACCGATTCCCAGGGCTCAACCAGGCCCGCATCTCTGGAGAGGAGACCTGGGAGTCTGTATATTTTTGCTTCCCATATGATGCCATTTAGGTCTGGGAACCACTGACCCATTCTAGTCTTAATCCTGTGTAGGATTCCTTCCCTCCTTTCCTTCTTTTATTCTTTCTTCTCTCCCTCTCCATGTCCCTCCCTTGCTTCCCTCATCCCAGGTAGATATTCATACAGCTTGTGCTTGATCACCCCAAGGATGAAGTTGTCCAGAGACTTGTCACAAAATCCAAATTTGCTAATACCACTCCTGTACATTACATCCAGTAAAGTACAATTTAAAAAATGTAAGTGATGCTTTTTTTTTTTTTTTTTTGAGACAGGGTCTCCCTCTGTTGCCCAGTCGGGAGTGCAGTGGTGTGATCTTGGCTCGCTGCAACCTCCGCCTCCTGGGTTCAAGCGATTCTCCTGCCTCAGCCTCCCAAGTAACTGGGATTACAGGCACCTGCCACCATGCCCAGCTAATTTTTGTATTTTTAGTGGAGATGGGGTTTCACCATGTTGGCCAGGCTCTTCTCAAACTCCTGACCTCAAGTGATCCACCTGCCTCTGCCTCCCAAAGTGCTGGGATTACAGGTGTGAGCCACCGTGCCCAGCGAAAATTTAAATGATGCTTTCCAGCCCTTAATGAGAATACCTGGGCTTTGGATCATGATGAGGGACTGGAAAAGCCAGGAGAAGGTGGGGAGGCAGGGCCAGCTAAGCTCCTTACTCGCTGGGAATTCACTTCTGCACACCTGCCTCATTGCATGATGGGTGCAGATGCATGTCTTGGGGACAATGTTAATCACTACATGTCCTGACTTTTTAAGGGCACTTACTAATGATAAACTAAAAATATTAAATCTGATGATGCCGAGATCCTCTACATAAACAATCTAATATATTAGCCTAGTGTATACAAATGGTAAAATATTATGAAGATTCATAGATTGAAAGTTTATACTTTCACTTCTATCTCACACCACACACAAAAATTAACTCAAAATAGATCAAACCCTTAAATGTAAGAGCTAAAACTATAAGACTCTTAGAAGAAACTATAGGGATAAGTCTTTATGGTCTTGGACTTGGCAATGGATTCTTAGATATGATATCAATAGCAAA